ACGGTAAAGTGACAAATTCCGTTGATCAAGATTGATTGGGATAGAATTTTATTGATCGGGGTATTGCTTCTTCAACATGGTTATACACTTTTAAAACTTAAATTTGTAGCATTTTTAAAATACAACGCTTGGAGCTTTCATAAATTCAGTTTCAGAGGAGTTCAAGATAGATTACTGAAATACGGAGACATTAATTACATGCCAGCGTTTGCAGCTAAAAGGACACCATTTCTGTGCCATGGGCGAGTTAGATGCACAGCTAGTTTAATGAGTTTAGTGATTAAATATGTGGGAGTAACAATTTTGTTAAAAGCTAATAGAAGCCGCTATCCATCTGTTTGCCATCCATAGCACAGTGTGGAACAAACAGAATCTGTTGTTCTTTTAGGAAATCTCCCGGCTTGATTTCATGACCATTTTAAAGTGTTATGAAAATAAGGGACAATTGTTCGCGAATTTGAATTGAGTGGTAAAATTAATCAAAATTTATCCCCAATTTATTGGCTTAATATTGTCTTTCAACATTCTCGGAAGCTAAGGCCTTTAAGCCATGCATTCAGAGATAAGAGGAATCTTGATATCCCGACTACATGGCCTCCTTATTTTCAACTTCCCTCATTTTTGTTTGTTTGTTGTTCCTCGTGATAAAATCTTCCAATCTCAAACTACCTCACTTTTAGCATTTTTCGGACTTGCGTTTGGCTTTGAAGATATTCTTGTGGTTAAGTTAAAGCTAAATCAATTAAATTATATTCCATAAACTATTAGCATCTCAAAGGGATGACCCTTGAAATTTGTATTAATTTCTCAGGTAAGTTCATCTCAGAAAGTCCACGAGAATTTCCGTTGCTGGATAACAACGGAGCCACATCCCAAATTTCCAATTGCACTTTTACAAATTAGCACAAAATTCACGTTTGATCCACCAATGGGAATTCGAGCGGGACTTCTCCGTACTTATGCTATGATTGGCCAGGAGGGTGAGGACCAATTAGAGGCAAGCAGTGCTGTCCAATGGAAACCACTGCTCTATGCAGTTTCTTTTCTCCATACCATTGTTCAAGAGAGACGCAAATTCGGACCGATAGGGTGGAACATTCCCTATGAGTTCAATCAAGCAGATTTCACTTCAACTGTTCAGTTTATTCAGAATCATTTGGATGATATGGATGCGCATAAGGTAGGTGCCAGAAAATCCCCTGTTTGAATTAGTGCTTGAGTTCACCTGATAAGCTGACTTGGCAGGGTATATCTTGGGCGACTCTCCGATACATGATCAGCGAGGTCCAATATGGTGGGCGAGTCACTGATGATTACGATAAGCGTCTACTCAACACCTACGTGCAAGTGTGGTTTACAGATCGT